GTTGAGATATGGGTTAGGATGCCCACATCCTGTATCAGAAACTGCAGATCTGAGTCCCAGCCAATGCACTTGAGTCTAAGCTTGTCGATAAAGAAGAACCCAGGAGACAGCAGTGATGGGTCAGGCGACTGCATCCTGGAAACCTGGCACTGAGTTCAAGGATTTCAGCTTTGGGCTGACACAGCCTCTGCCATTGTAGCTAGGAGGGTTTTTAACCAGAGTAAGAAAAGTAGCTGCAACTGTCAGCTTAGCTATCTAACTAGCTGCCTCTCTGTGTCTTTCAAAAAATAAGTTTATTTCATAACTACAAGCTTAACTTGCAAGTAGACAAAGAATTCAACAAACAACTATTCCTCAAGTTATGGGCAAAGATTGTAAGCGATAATCACATCTCAAAATGTCAATTTCTCTTATGTAACTTACATTTTTGCACTCTGTATAACAGTATTCACAAATCTGGGAAAACATCCGATATCTGTCTTTTGGAAACCGGACTATTTCACTAACATGATCATTCCCAGTTGCATCCATTTTGTTTCAAAATACACAAATTCATTCTTTTCATCGTGGAGTAATATTCCATTGTGTCACATTCCACGTTTTCTTTATCCAGTCATCTGTTGGTGCACATCTAGATCAGTTCTGTGTCTTAGCTATTCTGAATTGGGCTACAGTGAACATAGGAGCACAGATAATTCTCTCACATGCTGATTTTGTTTCATTTGGATTATTCTCAAAAAGTGGGATGGAAGAGTCTTATGGTAGATCAATTTTCATATTTCTGACAAATCTCCACACTGTCTTTGATAATGGCTGTACTGGTTGCTACTTCCACTGATAGTGGATTATTATACTGTTTGTCCTATATCCTTGTCAGCACTTATTACTGTCTGATTTCTGTATAGTAGCCAATGAAAACTTACTATAGTTTTAATTTGCATTTCCCTGATGGTTAATGATCCTGTTTTTTCGTGTGTCCATTGGCCCCTGAAATTTTAGCCTTTGTAAAATGTCCTTAGCCCATTTCTTTACTGGATCCTTTGTTTTGTTGTTGAGGGGTCTCTTGAGCTTCTTATAAATCCTGGATATTAATCCTTTAATAGTTGCATAGCTTGCAAATATTTTCTCCCATTCTGTTGGTTGCCCCATCTGCAAACCAGATATGACAATAGTATCTACCTGTTAGTTCTGTTGTGTGAGTGCAATAAAACAAGACAATAAAGCATTTAGCATAACTACTAACACAATCATGTTACCTAGAGCTATTGCAAGGACCTCAAACAATTTGTACAAATGAGGTAAGATAAAAGGCTTAAAACTGGACTGCCACTGGGTAGCTCTATTATCAATTTGCTTTGATCTGTCTTGGTGTATATAGGTCATTTTGGTGTATTTCATCACTGTACAAATAAAATATCTAAGAATATTTTTAAGATGTCAAAAGAAGAGTTAATTTTTTCTAAGATATGAAATAAAAGAAATAAATTAAATAACATGCTACTGGAGGTGATAGTCTCCATTACACGGTTAATATACATCCCCTAAAATGAAAAGCCACAAATCATAATCAAGAACAGTAAGAAAAAAAGTTAACAACACCAAGAAGTTAAGCAACATGCTATTAAATGACTAACGTGTAGCTGAAGAAATGAAAGTCAAGAACCTTCTTGACGAAAATGATGCTACTGTATGAGCTACGAGTCATTGAAGAGGTTAATCAGAAGAAGGTGTTTTTAATAGTGGATTTTGATACTAATGGATAAGTAACTGCAGAACACACCTACCACAGGGATAAAATGGAAAAATCTAGACAAATTGCAAATGATTTACAATAAAGCATATTCTTTGACTCTGGGGAAAATTATAAATTAATAACAAGATAACTAGAAAATGCCTAAATGCTCAATATGATACAATATCCTTTAAAATAATTTGATAGTTCAATAGCCACAATGGTGATGATGTGAGTGAGAACAAAAATGTGGCCTCTCAGAACCGTATGAAAAGCCGTGTTCCAAATTCACAGCATTTATGGATATGTCAGGAAAGTTTATGAATGATTATCATGGAAAATAGTCCAGATAATGATATTGAAAAAGAAGAGCAAGTTCGATCCATGAAAAAGAAGAAAGAAATTAATGCAAAAGTAGAAAGAAATGAAGAAAGCAAACATGTAGTAGCAGAAATAACAAACCCAAATCCTATTTCTCTAAAAAGACAACTAAAAGCAATAAACCATGCTGACGCACAAATCTTCCCAAGGTAAAATTAATGTCAGGATTTTTAAAAGGGGCATCAGTGCTGGCATTTCTCCAAAAGAAAATTATACGCAAAGACGTATCAAAGTAATTTACTTCATCGACTTAATAAAGAAAATTTTAATGTGATCATTTCAATAGATACAAAAAATACCTTTGGAAAAGTCAACATCTATGCCACATTAATCTCGCCAAAATGGAAGAAGGGAGTATCACATTGATACGATTTTTGAAAATAAATTTACACTAAGCATTTATTTTGAGATGTTAAAAGCTTCATTTCCTGGGTTCCAAAAGAGTTGAGGATGTTATTTTCTTTTTCCAAATCAACAAAGAAAAACCCGAATCACATTTAGGTTAAAAATGCATGTGGCTCTTCAGCACCAAATGTGGCTTCTCCAGAAATGGGGATGACAGAAAAAGGGGAGAAAAGAATCAGGACAATTACATCTCTCACAACCCTTCTTGCTTTTATCTTTTATTTTAAATGTGAAAGGCATTTAAGAGACAGAAAAATGCAGGTAGTACCCGAGGCTAGAGCAAAATTATAGATGCTGCTGGTGTGAAAGGAAAGAATGAGAACATGGCAGACAGCCAAGCAACCCCAGGTGATTTAAAGAGCCCAGGGCACAGGAAGAGAGGCAGACCGGGTCTGGGAAATGAAACACTCGCAGACCGAAGGAGGAGCTTTTTGAATGTCCCCATGTTTTATGCGTTACTTATATTTCATTTTTTTAGTGTGGTGTAATAAATGTTCCCTCAGTACAGAGTATTTGCTGCTGTGACTGAGTCGAAAACAGCCATTATCTAGTGGCACTAGGATTAAAATTTCTCAAATCAAAGAAATGAAATGGCTTTAGAAAATTCTACTTTCTTTCAACATCCCCCTCCCCAAAATAGAAACGAACCTCTTCCTTGTGCGATTGCCACAACAGAGACAGCCACACCCTGAATTTAATAGAAATATATGAACAAATGATGATAAGCGAAAGCAATAGAAAAAGCCTAGACTCAAACAACTCATAAAATAATATTTTCAAAAGTCATAATCCATACTCTGTTCATCTTTATTAAGACAAGTTATTCCAAAGAAAGTCAAGACGTGGGTTTCAAGGACATGAGAGCCATTGTATTCTCTGACGCAGATCTTACCAACACAAAAAAGTCACAAAGCTGTGTGAAAAGAATCACAATCATGCTACACCCGGAAATCTTCTCTATGTTCACTTCCTGTTGGTGTTAGATAGTACACTGTGCTTTAAATATTAACAGACAAAAAAGTAGCCAGCAATATTACACCTTCATGTGGCTATGTTCCTATCTTATAAACCTACACCATGTATTCATGGAAAAATCTAGAGCTCCCAGCTACAGCAGAGGTCAGTCGTATAGACTGGAATTCTGGATTCAATCAAAATGGGCCATTAAAGGCTGACTTTATAAAATAAATAAATAAATAAATAAATAAAACCACCAAGACTGTTGGTTGAGCTTTGCCAGCGCATTGAGAACTGAACTTGAGCAGCACACTATAATTGAGACTGTAAACTACTTGTTATTAAATTGTTTTTCCTATGGTAAGCAAACAAAGATACATTGAAGTCCAGTGGCTTACAACGTTAGCCCCTGATTCATTTTGCAGACTTTATGGAGCCAAATTGCATGTAACCAATCAATAGGGAGCCACAGAGCTGTTCTAGTGTCTTGCCGCAAGAATTGGCTTGTGGCCACCAAGGCAGGGTGCTATAAGGAAGCTGCTGGTGGAGCAAGGGAGACAAATGCATTTTCCTCTCTGGAATCTGCATATTTGCATGCATTGATAATCAGCAATTTAAATAAAATTATCAGGTTAGAACCACTGAGATCAGAACCCTTGGTTAGAGTATGACTTTATTTCACACAACAATTCTGATTTTAAAAAACTGTCTTTCTTTGAAATTTGATTTTGAACATTTCATTTACACAATGAAACATTTGTTGCAATCTACAGTTTTGGAATTGTCTATTAACTTTGGGAACTTGACAGTGCATGCAAAGTCTCCAGCGGACAGTCATCTGCTTTTCCTTGCAGTTTATTTTCATTAGAGAGAAAAGACAGGGAAGTCGGAGGAAGGAAGAGCTGAGGAGGATATTCCCAGTCACTAATAACCCTCCAAACGCCTGCAGAGGAGCTGAGCTTGGGGCCAGAGCCTGAAGCCAAGAACTCAAATCTCCCCTACCTGCTTACGTGGCAGACATCCCAACTGCTACTTCAACGGCGAGGCCAAATGTCTGCCCTGAGACTTGGTTTTGAGATATCAAATCTATGACAATGACAGATAATCTTAAAATTTGTAAAAGAGATTTTATTTTATTTGCTTGAAAGAGGCATAGTTAGCGGGGAGGGAGAGCACAACAGAGAGAGAGAGAAAGAGAGAGAGAGAATCATGCAGCTGCAGGCTTACTCTCCAGTTGGCCAAAATTGCTAGGGGCTGCACCAGGACAAAGCCAGGAACCCAGAGCTTCTTCAGTATCTCTTACCGGCATGAAGGGTGGACCATCATCTACCGTTTCCCCAGGACGCAAGCTGAGGGCTGGACGTGCAGTGGCCAGGATGCCCAGGCATCAGCACTACAAGTAGTGGCTTGATGCAACATGCCACAGTGCAGGCCCACAAAAAGAGATAGAACAAAATAACAAAAAGAAGAGAACTCTAATTTTAGAGTTCACTTTTTGCCAATTATTTTTATTTTATGTACTCATCTTTTTATTTATGCAGTATTTTTGCTATCTTACAATGATTTTGTCCAACAAATAAACACAAATTAATATATTCAGATTCTTGGAGTGACAGAAGAAAACATCTAGTACAAAGTCATTAGGAGTAACAAAAGGAAATAGAACATTTGGAATGTGACATTTGGAGATAATTTGATAAATCAGAAAGGCAGACTTTGAGAATTCTGTTCACCGTAAGCAAGCTATCATAAATAAGATTTTTCAGGCTGATTCTGCTATGTAAAATGGAAATCCCCCAGTAGTGTGATCAGAATATACACTGATATTCCTCAGACTCCATTTCTGTATTCTTTAATTATAACTCAGGTCTCTGTAAGGTTAGGCAGGTGTAGAGAGAAGTCATGTAACATGGATTTCTCTAGTTACTTTCCGCAGCTCAAAAATATATTTATTATCTTTTTCCTCCACGGGGAACATTATATCTCTCAAGTATTTGCAACAAATTTCATACTCATCCATCACAGGTCCATTAGTTGTCCAGATGAGAGGAGGGTGGAGTCTAGTTACACATCTAGGGGAGTCAAGGAAACTCCTTCCCATCTAAGTTGTAAAATGTGGCAAAGGCATGTGAAGGTATATTTCTGTGAACTCCTGGAGCTAGGAAATGGCTCAGCAAATTTGCATGGGAAGTACACGCTGCTTAATTGAGTTGGAACTTCTCATCTCTCTCATTGATAGGCAAATAGTAACACTATCAAGGCCTGCCTTGTGTCCAGCACGCTTCATCTCAGATTGAGTTTGTGCAGACCACCGCGGTCACTCTGTCTGTGAGAAGGTCTGGGATGCTGTATGTGGATGGGGCACTGCTGGAGTGGCAGCTTCACTGCAGGGAGGAGGACCATTGAGCAGTTTCACGCACATTAACTGGAAAGTTGTACTCGCTGATGCTGCAGTATACATGTAGGAGTTATATACTGTATTTGTTCTAATTCACGGATAATGTAAAGACCGAAGAATCTGGGATCATCGATACAAATACCTGCCTCCATCAGGATGTATTCAAGCACCACCTGCCATGCCAGCTCAGGGAGAGCAGTTTCTTGTGCTTGTAGGGCCATTTTGGTGGGTAGTGTGAGAAGGTTCATAGAACAAAAGCAGCACCAAGCTCTTGGCTTCCCCTCTTGCTGGCAGTGTAAAACTGCTCAATCTCACTCAAAATCACTAGATATCGAATGTTTTTTAAAAATGCCCAAACCAATATCACACAGATTTTTTTTTAAAGAAAAGCAAGTGCTTTTCCATTAGGGCATGAAGGGGGGGGTGGGACGGGAGAGGAGCAAAAAGCAACTTTACAGAATTACCAGACTCTGAAAAGAAGACTTGGAAAAGCCACTCAAAGACACTGTGGGCAAATCAATGTATGACAGCCAGCAGGAAGATCAAGAATTGCCCAAGAGAGGCAGCAAAGCCTGAATATCCAATGAGGGTTAGGCACACACAAGGATATGCAAATAAAAGATGAAACAACAGTGAAGGGATACTCAAAGTAACATCTGAGCGTTGCAATACCAGTATGTGGAGGACTGTATAACACCCGACTAATGGTGATTATTGTAAGGTGACATGAATTATGCACCAGTTTTATTTTCCCTGTCTTCTACTCCAAATTGTCTTCATTGAACATATATTGCTATTGTAATTGAGAGGAAATTAAAAACAGATGTGGTAGTCCAGAAACACAGGAGTAAAACCATCCAGGTAATAAAGACAATCATCCCCAGACCTGAAGAAATAGAGAACATTATTCAGTCCCTGGAACCTTCACACCTGCTTCCAAGGCTGACCAGTTGCTCACACAGGCCACGCATCCTTCTTGTGGTCAACCTCCACCCATCCTCCCCTCTCTCACCCGGAAGCACACATCGAAACTCACACACATAGTGAGAAACTCACACGCTAGGGTATGTACACACACACATACTCATGCTCACCCACTCACTTCTGTACTTCCTTTTTCTGATGATGACAGGAAGCCCTAAACACCATTAATTTAGGCAGCCGAGCCCAGCGCATCTCCAAGCATTTTTGTCAGGCTGTGGATTATTTTGACCGTGTCCCATGTTGTCGCATGGTAGGCTGTGAGAGAAGTTAATGTATTAGGTCAGTTTAAGCCAGGAAAATTCCCTCTTTAATAATTCCAGTTTCCTGTCCTTGCCTCACTGTTACATTCCCACCTTCGTTTCCAACAAAAACACATTAATAGGGACAAGTTTATGACCAGTCCTAGAGATGTGGTTTGGCTGAGGGACAGCAGCTGGTCTCTTAAGGAAATTTCAGTCTTGTTTGTGAGTAATTCACCGGTGCCTTTATGCAGACAGTTGCAAGTTTCTCTTTCAAAGCCCGCCCTCCCGAAGCCCGCAGGTTGTTCCCTGTGTACTCCCCTAGCCATTCCTGTCTTCTACAATTCGAGTTTCATGTGCACCGTGGTACAGCCCATGAGACTGGCTAACTTGAGAGTGTTCATTTTGAATGTAGTTCTAACAAGTAGTGAGTATGGTATCCCCAAGCAGGTTATTAAGTTCAGTGTCAGTTCCTGTTGTTCAATTTCACTTTTAGCTTGTAAACGGTGTACGTGATACTCAGCAGGACGGGATCCCCTAGACTGAATGCACAGATTCTGACCCAGCTTTGAATTTGCTGTCCTCAACTATACAGCTTCAGCTCTTTGGTTCTGCGCATTGTTCCATCTGGAAAACGCCGTTCACTTTAGTTCAAAAGAGTTTGAGTGATGCAGGAAAACTAAGACGCATCGGGACTCCTATAAGCTGTGGACGTGGTGACACACGCGAGAGTGATCCTGACTCTGGGTCAGAGACCTGCGATTAAGTTTCTTGGATCCATTTTTTAAACAGTTGTATGATCTTTAGAAAATTGTCTCACCCACTTGAACACTAACATTGCTGAATAAAAACGGAATTGCCCTCACCTAACAGAGTTGTTTTGAAGTGTGAGGGAGAGGCGCATAGCTCCCGCTCAGTGACTGGCAGCGGCCTGTGGAGTTCACTTCCTTCTTTCTGAGCCGTGCGGTTGGGAGTGGCCATCTTTGCATCTGTCAGACATCAGCCATAACGTTAGCACTCTGCCACCTAAGTGAAAAGGAATAAGGACACCCCAAAACATTTCTGAAAGAGGAATAACTTTTTCTTTGCCTGGGAATTGCCCAGGATGGTTAAGCAGCCCAACTACCCTGGAATTCTTGGGAAACATCAAAGCTGAACTTGAGGGAGCGTGAAAACATCCAACTAGTCCTACCACCAATGTGATTTTCTTAGAAAAAAAGAACATCTTCAGATCTCTCCTACTCCAGGTTCAGCCAACATTCCCAGGCTCTCTCTCAGCCTTAGCCTCAGAATTGTAGAAAAAGAATAATAGAATGAATTCACTTCCAGGAGATGAAAGAAATCTTCCTGCATCCAACGAAACCATTGACCCATAGAGACACAAATAGCCCTAAGAAAACCACACTATTTCTGCTGTTTAATTTAGACTTCAGTAGTTCTTCCAAATAAACTGAAAGTTTCCTGAATAAAAACATAAGAACATGCTTTTGATCACATTTTAAAGTGTAGTTCCTCATTTCTACTTGTGCCCATTTCTTGCTGCAATTTTTCTTTACCTTAAATTAAGAAATCAAGATTTCTGCCATTAGAAAATACTTTCAGAAATAGCCCTCCAGTTACTCTCCCATGAATAAGAAATCAAGGAAAGATATAAAAGAAATCAAGAATATGATAATCTTGCCTTTGGGCTTGCTATAGTTTTGTTTTTTTTTTTAAGAATTTCTAGGTTTCTTTTAGGGCTCAGCGTTTGAACGGGGGCATACTGAATTTTCCAGACTCAGTGATAAGGATGGCATGTTCTTCTCTTTGTGTTTTTGTCCCTGCCTGCTGTGATTACAGTGAAAAAAAAGAAAAAAAAATTTTTTACAGTTCATTCGCAACAGATTCAGAATTGCAAAAGAAGTGGGTTTGCGAAAGTGAAAGCACCCATGTGAGTTTCACAGCCCAGCTGTCTGTTTTTCTTTATTAATAATGGCCTCCCTTAACAAATTTGAATTCTAGAAACCATTGGGCCAATGGTAGAAACGTATGAGAGCTTTCAGATTTCCATGCTGAATCTAATGCCAGGAATTTTAGTTGAAAGACTGGAGAAGCTCCTTCTAATTAGGTGGGCTTTTTAACTGGACAAGTTCAAGGCTGGCAGGGAGTGATCTGAGTCATGGACTTCCATGCTAATATCAGTCTTGAGACAACAGCGCTCTCACAACCTTTCAGGTTGCAGATGAATCACACAGAGTCACTCGCATCCCAACCTGCTCTGTTTCACAGCTGTTTATTGGTCCACCTCAGCCTCAAAAATTGATAGTGGGGAGTGGAGGATCATGGGCTGGGAGTTATACCTGAAGACATTCTAGATGATCAGCTGACAACAAGTTTCTCATTAGTACAGCCTTAACACTGGACAGTGCTGGCTGACTTGCAATAAATGCTTGTTGAATGAAAGGGTGAATACACTGTCTTGAGAGATGCACAGCACATTGAGGACCCAGCATGAGAGGAAATCCAGACCCGCTCCCTTCTCTAAGAATGTTAGATGAACACCTTGAATGAAGACAGCTCAAGGCTGTTCTTGGGCGTCTTCCCCGTAGGAGATTCAGCTGAGATAGCTCATGGAAATTTCCTTGTTGATACATCGTATGCCCATTGCCCAGCCTCATTTGTCATATCCCACTTTAGTAAACTGTCACTCTTCTGTTTTCCAGATTTAAAATTTTATTCTTTTGTTTCAGGTAAGAAAGCTCTGTGTTAAAATCCTTTTCTTGGGAAAATTTAATGTTCCAATTTCTATCTCCAATCATCCACCTAAATCATTGAGACAGCAACTAAAGGCCGGTTCTCTACAAAGCCCTGGGATAACAATACAAGCCACAGAAATGCGGACTTTGTATTCTCCTGTAAACCTCTCAGGGCTATTTGTATGAGCAATTCCTGAACCACTTGTAAGATTCTGGATGGCAAGGAAAATCGTGTAAATTACTCCAAGGGCAAGCTTGAAAATTCTCTGTCATTCTAAGTGCAGTTCTCCAAGTCCACCACCGATATCAGATTATCTCTTCCCTTAGGAGTGTCCCTATGGAGCTCACTCCCAAGAACATTACAGGTAGTTTAGCAGAGGAAACTGGCAAACGCAGACACATACAAAGCAGCTGTAGCTTCTAACTAAACAAGTGTCTGATTCTGTTGTTTCCTCTTCCTAGCAGGATGTGTTTGTATCAGAGTCCTTGCTCTGCCTGAGCGACCCCGCATTGGGCTTTTTCTGCCATGGCAGGTATACAGTAAAGGTACTTCGTGAGAGCTTATGTTTCTAAAATATTATGAACCTATCTTAAACAATAATTTAACTTTTATTATTCCAACTGTCAGGAAAATACTTCCACAGCTTTCCATAAGCTCAAGAATTGGAAGAGATGCTGAAAGACCTTCCTCTCAATCCTTTTTCTGGGCTGCGTTTCTGACTTGTAACTGTCACTTACTGAAATGATGCTTTAGGCAGGAATGAATGAAGGAAGTGGAAGGAAGGAATACGGAAAGAAGGAAGGGATGGAAGAAGAGAGTGAGAGGAAGGGGGGAGAAAGGAAGGGAGAGAGAAGCAGGAAGGAAAGGTAAGGATGGGGGAAAGGGAAAAACAGCATCTTATTACATAAAAACATTTTGTAACAGTAAGTGGTTTTGCTTGTCAGTTTGGTGCTACTGTAATGTATGTGCATTTGGTATAGCCATTAGATGATAGCTACACACACTCTAACATACGTACATACATGTATAAACACATCCATACATAGATGATTGACAGGTAGCTAGATAACAGTTAAAGTATCCCAGGTTGTTTTTCTAAATGCTTTTCATGTATCAAAGCATTTATTTAAAACTGAGTTAAATAACAATGAGGAATTATTGAGAGCACATAAGTAACACTTCCCGGGTAGCATAGCACATAATTAGTACAAAAAGGTTCAAGCGTAGCATTGTCCAATACAAATGTAATATGAGCTACAGTTGTGCCTTTAAAATTTCTGAGTCATATTTTTAAAATGATATAAAAGTCTAAGAGAAGCATTCTGTGAATTCCAGCTTATGTAACCCAATATGTGCAAAATGTTACTACTCCATCACCAACTTAATAAAGCAATGAGATATTTTTTACACTATTTTATATGTGCTGCTGTTTGAAAATTCCATGTGCTTTGCATTTGTTGGATATCACATTCTCTACCAAGTAGGGCATGGCTGATCTGCAGGTGAGCCAGTAGACACAGTCCTGCACTGTTACATTAATGCCTGGCATTGGTGAATCGTAGGCCTTATGACATGAAGCACATTGATCATGTTAGAGCATTTAGATTACATGAATACACATCTGGCTGAAATAGTCCTGCAAGTATTTCACATCTCTTTTGACTTCGGAAGGTGGGTCACAGGCACAAGTTGAGAATGAACATCCCCTCTTGAGGGACCCGGGAAGTCAGTTGACGCAGACGACCCCTGCCATCCTTTGGCTGTTCACAACCCACCCTCAGTACCAGCAGTGCCCTGGTCCTTCTCCCTCTTACCTTCTATGTCTAATGTGCAGCTGCCCCTGCTGCACATGCTCTCCCCACAACCCTGAATATCTGTGGTCTCCTACAGCAGACTCTGAACTGCCTCCAGATGTTTTCTCTGCTGTGTTGGCTCCAATCCATTGATTTCAGCAGCTCAGTGTCCCAGTAGAGGTGATATACTGATCCAAAGTCACAGAGCAGGGAGGGCAAGAGAAAGAACTCCTCCCAGGGACAAGACTGCAACAGGGATTTTACTTCTTCCTGCTCTAGGCCCTACTGCATCTTTTTTTTTTTTTTTTTGACAGCTTTGGCCATCTCCATGTCACTGAGGTTCCATGTTTAGTGGGTAGCCCCAGCAAGGGTTCCCTCTTTCTCTGTCCACAGACCATAAAAGGGAACTAAGCTAAAGGGAGCTGTGCTAAGATAAGAGGGCACCAGAGAGAGGGGAGGGTGGAGGGAAAGCGGAACACCACCCCCTCCTTGCCTCCCTGATAAGTTTCTACCAAGGGTGTTCTGGGCAGATGATGTGCTGAGCAGTCTCAGTTCTCTATAAAGACTAGCTGAGAAATTCCCTCTCTTAGCCAATCTTTGATGGCCTAAGTCTGCTGGCAGCAAGTTTTACCCCACTCAAGCACAAGGTGCCTGTTGGGACTGTGTCATCCATGCTCCATCACCCCGGGTGGCAATCCCATTTTAAAGTCCAAGAACTGTGCTTGAGGCTGTTCAGACACTGATTCCATATCAGCCTTGCCTGGTGCTGTTTGAAATCAACGCAAGTCACAAAGAGAAGTAAAATCCCAGGGTGGCCATATTGGAAGCCTTACCAAAATATTTGTACTTCTCTTCCCAGCTCTAATTTGCTATTGCATAGTTTTTAAAAATCCACTCTGAGAAAGTCAGTCTTCTCCAGGAAAATGTATGAAAGTGCTATTCCTAAACTACCTAAGCATTCAACAACATGGCACAGAGAATAGGGCCAGAGTGACTATCAAATCCGGTACGACCTTGATCTGTTAAGAGACAAATGGCTATGGAAAAATCACCTGGTTTAAGTCTCTTAATCTAAAAAATGGTTAATGTTAATGGTCATCCTGCATGCCTCAAAGTACTCTGTGACATTCAAATGAGATAATATGCATGAAAGTGCTTTGCAAAACATCAATCATACAGCAATAGATCGTCAATATGTCAAACACTCTTTATGAGTATTATTATCACACTCAGCTTTTGCCCTCCATTGCTTACACTCGCCATTGCTCCTGCCGGCACCATTGCAAAACTTCTATGTGTCTGCTTCAGCTCTCCTGCATCACGAACAGTACTGGAGTTAGTATATTCATATATTAGAACTGGGACCAGCATCATGGCATAGTGAGTCAAGTCTCTACATGCAATGCTGCCATTCCCTATGGGCACCAGTTAATTTCCCAGCTGTTCTATTTTTGATTCAACTCCCTGTTACTGTGCCTGGAAAAGCTGCAAAGGATGGATGGCCCCAAAAAGTTAGTCCCCTGCAGCCACATGAGGGATCCCAAGAGGCTCTGGGCACTTGGTTTTGGATCAGCTCATTGTGGCCACTTGAGAAGATTTTTCTCTCTGTCTCTTGTCTTGTAAATCTGCCTTTCAAATAAAAATGAATAATTTTAAATGAGCTAAGTTTTTTTAAGTAATCCTATAGCTTAGAACCTTTTTGTTGATCTAGAATATAACGAATACTTTTTCTCTGAAGAATATTCTCTGATAATATAAAGCTACATCTGGTATATCAATAGTAAATTCTTGGTGCTAACAGTGAGGCTTGGTGGGATTAGCCACTAGCTGCAGTACGAGCATCTCACATGGACCTGCTCATTTTTTTTTCCTGGCTGCTCCACTTACAATCCAGGTTTCTGTGAATATGTCTGGAAAGGAAGCAGAAAATATGCCAGACAGGTGGCACCTTTCCTCCTGAATGTGAGACCTGGGTGGAATTTCTGATTCCTGGTTTCGGCATGGCCCAACCTTGGCTGGCTATGGCCATTTGGGCTTCTGGAGAGTGAGCCAACACATGGAAGATTCTCTCTCTCTCTCTCTCTCTCTCTCTTTCTCTGTCTCTCTTTCTGTGTGTGTGTGTGAGACTACCTCTCAAATAAATAAGTAAATAAATTCTTAAAATGAAAAAAAAAACTGTACATTCTCCACATAACCCCACCACACAGACATGGGAATGTAACTTTGGGTAAGTTGCTATCCATTGTCTTGTTTAATATACCCAAAATAACCAGATTTAGTGATGGAAAATTATGGTTAAAGTAGAAATGTAAAACCAACTGATGTCAACTTTCCATGTGAGCAGAAGTACTTTCCAATTATCCAACTGACACCCTGCCCTGCCCCAACAAGCACCACACGCACCATTCACCACTAGACATTGATAGTTGGCTAAAAGCAGGCGAACCTGGACTATTCAGAATATCTTGCCTTTTGTTCATTTCTTTATTTTCTGAAAGAGGTTCTTGGATTTAGGACACACAGAATTCCCATTTGTGGTTTTTGCATACAGATTCAAAGCAACTAAACACTGCGGCTTTTCTAAGGGTGTTTGGTCATTTCTGGACCTCAGAAATGGCCACAGGTGACCCGCAGGACTATCTAATGAATGCTTATGGTGACCAGACTGTGGCCTCCATGCGTTTCACTCTAACAAATGGCACTAGAAACTGCCAATCACGGGGACATTAATATATGCCTGTCACTAGACCGGGCATCTGTTGTTCACCAGCTCTGATGTTTTCAAGTTTGAAAAAGGTGGGGAGGGGCACAGACAGTGGTGATAGCTGAAGAAGTTGCATAACTACCAGTCAATGTAGGAGATCAGAGTTAAGTTCCCAGCTGTGTTTTGGTTTGTTAATAGCCACACTGAAGCCGTTTAGGTATTTGGAGGTATTTAGGTAGTCGGGAGGTGTGTATTTTTCTCGGCCTGTCTTTTTATTTTTCTGTCACCATGGCAGTCAGAGAAACATTTTAAAACATTTTAAAAATTATTGGGATGTGTCTTCCTTACAAGGCAGTATTCCAGAGACAACCACAGATAAAATACAATCTCTACCCTCAAAGAACTGATAGTTTATGAGCAAAACAGTGCAAGTGAAGCTTGCACACTGCTGTGAGATGCTGGAAGATGGAGCCCAGGGCAGAAGCCTAGTGGCTATAATCCTTGCCTTGAACGCCCCCAGAATCCCATGTGGGGTGTACCGGTTGATGTCCCGGCCACACTGCTTCCGTCCGGCTTCCTGCTAGTGGCCTGGGAAAGCAGCAGAGGACAGCCCAAGGCCCTGGGATCCTGCGCATCCCCTGCATGAGAGACTCGTAACAAGCTCCTGGCTTCTGGCTTTGAATCAGCTCAGCTCTGGCCATTGCGGCCACTTGGGGAGTGAATCAGCAGACAAAAGATCTTTCTCTCTGTTTCTCCTTCTCACTTCCTCCTGTCCTGTATATTTGACTTTCAAAAACATCTTTAAAAAAAAATGTGCTGTAAGATAAAGAATCAATTTAATCTAGGAAGTTATAGAAAATTTTGTCCTTTAGTGCAGACATTAAAAATGAATTTTGGAACCCCAGTGCTATGGCTCTTTGGCTAAATCCTCACTTTGTGAATGCTGGGATCCCAAATGGCATTGGTTTGTGTCCCGGTTGCCCCACTTCCATCCAATTACCTGACTCTGGCCTGGGAAGGCAGTAGAAGGCAGTCCCTAAAGCCTTGGGACCCTGCACCCATGTGGGAGACCCAGAAGAAGCTGCTGGCTCTTGGCTCAGCCCTGGCCATTGCAGTTATTTGGGGAGCGAATCAGCCAATGGAAGATCTCCTGTGTGTCTCTCCTTCCCTTGGTAAATCTGATCTGACTTTCTAAATAAATTAATTAATACAAAAAGAAAATAAACTTTGGATGACCGACCTTCTGGGTAAATAAAAGTTTGATAGGTATTCTAAAAAGGAGGAAGAATCAACCCATCATTTCTTACTCAGTGACAGAGATCAGAAAATAGAAAGGGTCACTGTATGACTTGGCTAAGCTTTATACGCTGCGGTTCTGCTATGGTGAAGAAGGATATGTGTGTCATAGAAGCATTCACTTCAAGTCTTCATGTTTTTGTGGATGAGTGAAGCTTGGTGTTTGGTGTTTTGTGATACCTAGAAGTCCCAAGCCCCCCAAACCAGGAATTAGCTGACTTTTCACTATTATCCAGGTTGTAGCATTAAACCTATGGAACGAAAATAGGAGATTATATTGTGAGCTGAAACCTATAGGGTAGTGACAGAACAGATAATAAGAGGAAGTCTGAGCAGAAATGAAACTACAGAAAAAGGGAAACCCCAAAACTATATACTGAATGTTTGCTAAATTTGCAATTGTAGCGCTTAAAAACATGCAAGGTTAAGGTGACAACTGAAATGTTTAGCATTTCACTGTAATCCTTAAGCATTTAACAACTGAAATTTTCAAAAGGTACAGATGATTTCAAGATTTCGTCATTTGTATGAATCTTTGCAATTTGAAGCAATAAAATGCAGCATGAAAGCATTTACAAAAGGAAATTAAAATATGCACTATATTGATTCTTAAACTTCCTTCTTTTTTTGCTCATTTATTTCTTTATTTGAATGGCAGAGTGACAGAGAGAAGGGGAGAAGCAAAGTTATATACTCTCCCCAGATGACTACCATTGCCAGGGCTGGTCAGGTGGAGCTCAAGTGTCAGGATTCCATTCGGGTTTCCCACATAGATGGTAATTTTCCCCAGTAACTTCAGCCGTAATCTGCCTCCTTTCCACAGAGATGGGTCAGAGGTGAAACAGCCAGAACTCAAACCAGTACTCTTCTAAGGAAAGTGGATGCCACAAACTGTGGCTTTAGCCTGCTGTGCCACAAGGCCGGCCACCTTTCACTTCCTTTGTGCTGTTGCTGTGAATGTAGTATTCATTTTTCCATCTTATCTGAAAAACAAATATCAACAAATTAACAAATAAACATTAACATTGGCCATGGAAACACAAATTGCCTTGTATGGTTCAAATCAATCCCTTATTACTCAGTTTCATTTCTAGGTATAACAAAAATGTAAACTAGAATAAAATAAAGAGCAAATCCAAAGCAAGTATTATGAAACAAAAGGTATAGCAAGAATTCAAGGTATCTAAAGTCATAATTCTTCAAAGAACATCTTCCTTAATTGTGGAGGTTGAAGTTAAGCCAAACCTTGTGTGTGCTGATGGCTTTACCTTCAGTAACTCAAGCACATAGTTACAATTTACCCGTATTTTTAATAGTTTTTGACACAATGGCATGCCAGCTGATTCTCATTTTAGTTTTATTTTCACAGTCTTCATCAGCCATGATAAGGAAGGAAATTATTCCTAAGAATAAACAAAGTGTTGAATTGCAGCAAGGCCACTGACTATGAAGTCAGTTTGATGTCTCCACCCAGGAGACAATATCCTTGGGCTGTTTCTCAGATTTTCTGAGCCCTAGTGTTGCTTCTTTCAATGCTGTTATTGATCAAATCCATGTGATCTGCGATCAATATTTTTAGATCTAGAGCTATTATGAAAATCAAAGAAGTGAAAATATGGAAATATACATAATAAATTATAAAATGTAATACCTCATCTCTAGCACATGATTAGTATTTTATCAGGGAATAGAAAAAGAAATGATCATTAATGATGCCTAAGTAATAGACAATATGTAAAAAAACAAAGATGCGAGCTATATGCAAACATTGTTGAAAGCACTACTCTCCTTACAACTTCTTGTAAACCAAAGGCCACATCAGCAGGAAAGGGAGTGATTCAGCTACAGAATAGAAACCAGGAGTGTGGAAGTAAATTATCCTTGGCACATGAAGCAGAATTCCAAGTCCTTAGCCAGGCTTTCTCTTCCATCTACTTTGGCACTGCCTTCCTCTCCATGTTTCATTTCTCATGTTTCATGCAGACTGCATGATGATCACATGTTCACTGTGGTGTCATCTTCATGGAAGCCCTGCTGGTACAACTTCAAAAGTTTGCTCTTGTTTGTCCCTTCAGATCCCAGGTGTAGATAAGCATGTCCCGTGCCCCCTTTCCCAGCTCCCAGGCCGGTGTTCCACCCGTTTCACTGAGAGAGCAATCCCCCGATGGCCAGGAGGCTCAAATCCATCCTTCCAGTACTGCTTTCCTCCGACTAGATGCCTCTCTTGCCCAGAGAATCGATGCCATGTGCTGTCATCACAACTTCTGACATATAACTAAAACTCATGAGAGTGACACATTAAAAGGAGGCACTGTTGATGTTTTTTTTTTTTAGTTATGGAATGTTGGACATAAATCCAAGATATCTTGGAAAAGCCTAGTAATTACCATAAGTGATTTTTTCTTTTCCAATCAAACAAATACATTTTTCCAAGCTTCCATTCTTATCATCTAAATTTGGGCACAGGACTCTGAGAGAAATTCAGAAGTTTTGTCTGCTGCAGATTGAAGTGGGCACTGCTATGTTCCCAGTGTTTGACACTGTTCATGGTCCCAAAACCAATGAGAAATGTACATTATCTTTCAATGGCTTCAGAAAATAATGACAAGGAATCTTTTTCATTTAATCCTTACTTTCCATCCTAAGTAAATGTCTGAAAATATAATATCCCCTAAGTTGATCAAAGACATATACATTTAGAATATTTATGCAAATTTATGTCTGTAAGTGAAATGAAGCATGCAGAGAATGATTGGGATTGGCTCAATGTGGTATTTATTGCAGAGCTTGAAAATCTTGGGCAACCCAGGTAAAGAGTTTCTCCAAATTATGGTGCAATCATGTTACCTCCTCAAGCTTTCCACTCATGCCGCATTCTCAACAGCAATAGAAACTGATCTCCAGTGTACTTCCCACCTAAGCCCTCCGTACCACTTTCACTCCACATGAAGCATCCCTCCTCAACAACTCAAGATTGGGCCCTGTTCAGGTGAATTCACAAGGAGATCGTCAACAGCCACTGCCAATGCAAGAGTAAAGTGATTTCCTCAGAATGCGCTCCATTTACTAAACCACAGGAATAACCCAGTTACACTGGTTGTTGTAATTATGCAGTGAAAGTGCTTCATAACATGATTAAATATAAATGCAGAAGAAAAAGAATGATAGTCTTGCATGTGGAGCAGAGTAGTTCATTTGGTAAATTAAGTGATACACACAGAGACACAAATATATCAATGTGACATAATCACAACACAAGTGACACATATCCAGGAAATTGGGAGAAATTATGTAAACTTGGTAGATTCAGTTCTGAGATAGCTTTACAATTGTCTTTCAGTCTATAGATGCTTATTTGAAGAAATTGAATCTGGCATCTAAAGATGAGGCATTATAGGTGTAATTTATAAAAGTAGTAATGCAAGAACTTTCAATCTACAGAACACTTGAGCAGGATAAAAGGCCTTCACTCCAAGTCAAAATTCTAGAATGTCCTGTGATGAGTGCAGCTACAGATGAACATTACTTTACAATTCTTCATTGTGACCAACACTCTCATATGGACAGTTTCAAATCAAGTGTGATGAATTTTACTATACAGTCTTGGGACAATACTCAACATACACACTAAATAATACAAAATTTATGATGTCTTAATTTAACCTCAAATGCCTACCTTTATAATTTCCACTATTATGTATTTAGTCACCATGATAAAATGTCACTAGAAGTTAAAAATGAATATAGAGAGTGACACAATGACACAATAGCCAAAAGGAACCTTTTCACTCCCGTCACCTGGAACCTAGGAAAAACAAGTAATGGAGTCCAGGTCCTTCTTCTATGCAACAAAGCCAGGAAATTTCGGCCTGGCAAAAGATTTACACATTTTCCTCAAGCAGATAATTGAATCACTGGAAACAGCTAAATAAACCTGAGGTTAGTACTGCATGGGCAAAGAGCAAAGACCCTGAAACTTGGGAGAAAAATAAACAAGGCACTACTTTTTAGAAGATGCAGGATATTAATATCCCCCCAAAGTCATCTTATTTGTTTTTATAATCCTATTCAATATCATGTGAAAATCCCTGTATCTCAGATAGAGAGCTAACAGAAATGGCAAATGTACTGCTTTCTCTGTCTGAACTGGTTTTTCTGGATTCCACCTGTTTTTCTCCTGGGGCTTAGCTGTCTGGTCAGATCCTGCCAGTTGCTCAGGGACTCCTTGTTGACACAATGCTGTGAGCTGGGAGTGATTTCTGAAAGGACAACCGGCCCTACCACTCCCCAGATTTCACACGTCACTCGACTTGCAGCAGGCAGCCATGGCCAGCCAGTCCCAAGGGATCCACCAGCTCCTACAGGCAGAAAGAAGGGCCAAGGACAAACTGGAGGAAGCCAAGAAGAGTAAGTTTCTCCACTGAAGGGTTTGTCACAGAAGAGGTTGGGGCAGTGAGATCCCAGGGGGCAGCTCCGCGTACCAAGTCGTGGGGAGACTCAGGGTTGTTTATTAAAACCGCCCACCTTTACATACTGTATTGCTCTAGCAAGGTTGAAAATTTCCTTATTCAGACTTTCGTTGGAAGTCCCGTGCTAATGAGAAGGTTACGGGGATGTGGACTTAAGCCCCATTCCCTTAAGGGTTTGTCCTGTCTCAGATTCCTCATTATTGTACAATGTTCCTGACACAAGTAACTCCAGATTGAATCTGCTTAGCAGTGGGTAAATTAAGCAAGTTGCCTCTCTTTCAGAAGCTTCAGCTTCCACATCTCTAAAACTGGACGAGTAACAGTGAATGACTTATCTTTACTGCTTATTTGATGGCTTTTAAATTCTAGTGTCTTAAAATCATTCTATTTATTCTCATTTTCTTTCTATTTAGTCAAGCATCTATTTATTTACATATTGAATATCCTCCATAAACCTCCTTCTTGTTCTCTTTGATGTTCACAACAGCCAGGCCAATTCCATATTAATGTTGTTTCTATTTATGCATCCTGAAGTTGAAAGTTTGTGATTTGCCCAACGTTACATTAAAAATTTTTTTAATGTGTTAGCCAAATATTTAGTGCTTATCTTATTTACTGTTACAACCTTTAAGCAAAAAGGGAAGGCAATGCCTGAGGAAAATTTACAACTTGCCCAAGATCACAGGGTGGTAAATGGTAGAGATAGGATTTGGACTGTCTGATTCTCCAGCTAAAATCTTAACCAATGCACGATGAAAAATGCATACAATTCTCATAATGGAAAATCCCAATGCTGTAGATAGACCTGTTGAATTCAATCCCCTCATGCCATCACATATCACCTCATTTAGTTTATAATCATTTATAGTCATTCATGGTCTTCAGTGATTATATGTCTTCCCTTTGTAATTAGATTCCAAGTCTAACAACCCAGGATCCATGACTTACAAATGTTACCCAGCAACCCTTGGGATGAATGTGGTAATCAGACTAGAGCAGGTGTGCACTAAACATGATTGAGATACACTGAGTGAAATGACAGAGAGGCATATTCCAATGCAAGAGAGGAATCCGGGCACTCCGTCTACTGATGCTTCTATCTCAAGTAGAATAATAATTCCCTTTTCTTAAGTCCTAAGGCAGCTTGATGTTCTGAACACCCAGCACTGTGAGAACCAACAGCAAAATGGAAAAGACTTGATGTGTTGTTGGTGATTAAAGAGGAAAAGGAGAAAGACAATGAGGTCTGACTTTGCCTAGTTTTCATTTCTTTCTAAAACAAGCCATGCTAATGCCTGTAAGAGGGCATGAGTGCCAAGAAATTGTAAAGGAAACAATACAACATAAGACCGTCTAATTGAAAGAGGACAGAATACCCCTTGATTTTTTTCATCCAGTTTTTTTTTAACCACATTTAAAATTTCTAGATCAGAGGACAAACTGAATTTAAGATGTGATAATTAGGTCCCGTTGGCTTCCTGTTTATGGATGAAGCAAAATGGCCATATTGACTATATACACATCACTTCTATTACATGATTTAAATGATTTTTATCACCAACTTCTCCTTTTTCAAAGTCACAAAGGAAGAAGAGAAGTGTTGCCAGCATGGGAGTTGCTTGGGAGCAGAGCCACTGAGGACACCAACTGCACAACAAAATCAAAGTCCACCTTCGCTCTCGGTTCCTCTGATGAATAGGAAAAATGCATGTTATGTTATTTGTGTATGAAATGCTCATTCTATTTGCAAACAATGTAAAGGGATAATATATTTTTCTTAGTCTATCATGTCCTTGTTCAAGAAAAAAAAATAGCTCACCAGTAATAACACACTCCCAGCTGTTAAAAACTACAATATTTTGACTTTGAATAACCAGCTCCTTCACTCAGCCTCAGACAGAATGTCCTGTCAGCCCAGGCTGAGCAGACAGCTTTCTTTGGAAAGAAACTGTTTTCTTGCATTTCTTGCATCGCTACCATCATGTAGCAATTTATAGTTACAACAGCACTCAGCCTATTCACTAGTAAACATGTAAGTATAGTTTTACAACACAGAAACCTTTTTTTAAAAGACTTATTTATTTTCATTGCAAAAGGCGGATATACAGAGAGGAGGAGAGAGAGGAAGATCTTCTGTCCGATGGTTCACTCCTCAAGCAGCCGCAGCGGCTGGAGCTGAACCAATCCGAAGCCAGGAGCTCTTCTGAGTCTCCCACGCAGATGCAGGATCCCAGGGATTTGGGCTGTCCTGGACTGCTTTCCCAGGCCACAAGCAGGGAGCTGGATGGGAAGCAGGGCTGCTGGGATTAGAACCAGCACCCATATGGGATCCCGGTGAATGTGCAAGACGAGGACTTAACCACTACGCTATCACGCCGGGACCCGCAAAACAGAAATCTTACCCTTATGTAAGAGTACTTCAAAAAAGTTGGTGGAAAACTGGAATTAAAAGTAAGTTTATTTGGGTACTCCAAATTTCAAGATCACATATGATTTTTCATAAATGACTTTTCCACAAACTCTCTGAAAATCCATCATATATCTGGCATGCCTTAGTTCCCCTCATGTGTGAGTCATTTTAATATTACTCATTTATCTAGTTCCTTATGGATGCTGAGCATCACCAGATCCAAGCCATGTAAATGTGCTCACTGAAGCTTCGACTCAAGCCCTGTCCTGGTGCCATAAGGACAGAAACGATCCTAAAGTAGAAGAGGCAGGAGTGCTTGGAGTATCCATCATGCAGACTGAGACCATGCCATCTTGGACCAGGCACCATCTCTTGTTTTTCCTTTCCCACAACTTGAGAAATTCGCCCTGATAATCCCACTCCCCGATCTGCGGTCCCTCGCCCTAATCTCCAGGCACCTATCTGTGGCTCAGATAGCCTCTGTCACTGGTCCCTGGGCCAGCACACAGCCCACACAGTCCTTGCCTTCCCGTTTCCCTCTCTGCTCCCTTCCCTGGCTCTCCCCCATCACCTCCATCTTGTCCCTTCCCTTGCCCGGCAGCCCCATCTTGCCACCATGGCAGGAAACGTGTCCCTTCCAGTTTTCTCCCCTCCACCCCTGCTCCCGTTCCTACCCTGCTGGAATAAAGGACCTACTAAGCACCTTACTGCATCTGGGATTTTGTGTTGAGGTAAACATCAAGAAGAGAAGACTCAGCTGCAGGAATTAGCTGTGCATAACAACATAATAACTTTAGGAACTATAAGTTCATTTAAAACCTAACAACGTAAGACTTAATATTTATGTATTTACTAATTCTGTAACTTGACTTTCTTCCTAAAAAACAATGCAGTTGAAAATCGATCAGGAAGCACAGAGGTGCAACAAGAGGTCTGTTAAGTGACAAAAGTGACCAGCACTGCAGAAGTCTATGATCGTTTTCTCTTTCTTTAAAAACACTTCAATGTATTTATTTTGAACACACACAGGAGACAGTGAGCTTGCTCTCATCTACAATTGGGACTGACCAGTCAGCAGCTGATGGCCCAGAACCTCCAGCCAAGTCTCCCGCATGGCTGGTAGGAATCTAACTACTCGAATTATCACTACTGCTGGTCAGGGTCTTCCTTTCAGGAACCTACAATCAGGTGGTCTCGCCTGGAGTCAGTCCAGGTACTCTAATGTAGGGATCCTAACCAGTAGCTAAACCATAAGGCAAAATGCCTGCCCTACTTTCCTTAAACTCATTTATGTGAGAGTATCTAGCTGGACTCCTGAGGGTATATCTAACCAGAAAAAGTAGAAGAAGGGAGAAGGAAAAGAGGAGAGAACAAGAACAAACACATAATTAGGAATGGCAAAGTGGGAGGATTTTAAAAATCATGGCATAAAAATATTAATAGATTCTATTACAAAGGATACCTCAGATCTTGGTAAAGCAGTTGTGCAATAGAATGGGTGGTATAAGCAGTTTTCCTGCAGGGATATCTAACTAACTATCTATCTATCTATCTATCTATCTATCTATCTATTTATGGAATGTGGGCATAAAACCCTGGGAACTCTTCCCAAAGCTGAAGGCTTGAGTTCAAAACGTCACTGTCTTACTATAAGGTATTTGGAGCACTGCTGAGCCTCAGTCTTTAGAAACCCAGTTTTATACCTCCATCACTGTCCAAATATACAGTTAATAGATGTACATATATAATCACTAAAGTCATTTTAAGAATGAGAAAAATATTAATTTAGCAGAACAAAAATTAAGCACTGCTGAGTTGCTTTCTATGTAAGTGTACAGTGAACATGCATATTACTAAAGCAGTAACAACAAGGTGAAATACAGCATGCATAGGGTAGGGTGGAACTGAAATGAATCAAATAGAACAGACAAGAATAATGTAGTGTGATTCTTTTTTACTCCCATCGCAAGTTTTGGATCCACCCCTCAAGGGCAAGAAAGACATGGACTCCTTCCGGTGAGATGAGGAGAAAGTTTCAAATATATCTTCATTTACTCATTAATAATTAAACCATCTTTATTATTTAAAATTCTCACTCAGCACACATATTCATTATGTGCAAAATAATCCTATTGAATTTAGATGAAATCATGTTAAATATACTACTTTAAATTCCCCTACTTGGCATTATATTTTTTAACTACTTTTTTTATTTAATATTTTTTATGGCTAATAAATTTTTCATTAATCAAACACAAAAGTAGATGTGGTGTGCCCAGACAAGTTGCATTTTTGCAATGGAGTTTCAGAGATCAGCTCCTGGTTTGGGGCATTCAATGGAACCTGCAATCAGAATGAGATTGGAACTTCAAGGTGCCATCGCACTTCTGTTTCTCTGAAACCTGTGAGATTTTTGGTTGTGATTTTGAATCAAAGCAGTATTTACCTCATGAATACGCATGCAAATGTGGAAAACTCAACAGCATTTATACAAATGCTATCCTAAAATGTTCAAATACATGCTACTCAACATCACATACAGAACTCACATTCCCAAGCCATTCACAAACAGGTATCAGAACTTGTCTCACTGAAAATAGCATTGGTGCTGAACTAAAAATTACAGACCGCACTAGGCATAGATCTGAAGATGTGGTAACGAAACCTGAGTCTTCAATTCTAGGTAAGAGACAAACAGCTATGTTAACTATGTTCTAGGAGAATGTGTTGCACTGCAAACAGTGCTTCCCACCTCGGAGTGCATATAACTGAATCCCATCTCTGCTGCCACACCTGCCTCATGGGCCTGGCAGGCAGCAGGTGTCACAAAGGCCGAGTCCCTGCCACCCACAGGGGACACCCAGAAAGATGTCCTGTCCCCTGGCTTTGGCCTTAGCCAGTCTCAGTTGTTGCAGACCCATCGGGGCCAAACAAGCAGATGGAAGAGGCTCTCTCCTCTCTCTCTCTCTCTTAGAAATACTCTAAAAACTACCGGCATGAGAGTGAGGGAGCTGTCCTTCTCTCCTTCCCAGGTGGTGTTGTCAGCACCCTCTCCTTGGAGCTGCCCTGCCTTGGTGCACACCCAGCTTCTGCCCCTTGCTCACTGTGGCCTTGGGAAGATCCCTGCTCAGCCTCCAGTACCTGTTCCTTGTACTTTAAAGTGGAGATATGAATAATAACTACCTCGTGGAGGTGTTGTCACAATTAACCGAGTTGATGCATATACAAGATTCAAAACAACACTGGTGGCCAACAAATGTTAGCTATTAATATTCTGATACTCAATAAAAGCAACTCTGTCCAACAGAGGACTGAAAGGACACTTTCGCAAATAATTTCTTCAGCATGTTCCACTATAAGGTCTTTCACTGAATTCTACTTTTGCACAAATTTAGTACTGAAGAAAAGAATTCTACTCTCTACTTAGCTAATAACATTAATATAGTACTCTAAATTACTTTGTAGGTCTAGGAAATGCCCACCATCAATAACTTTTTCCTTAAATCAACAAATGACCTATTTGTTTCAAAAGGCAGAAATATTCTGAATTATTTAAATAGCCACCTTGACTTAATAAATTCTTCATTATGCAATTGGATGTTATGGTTCATGAAAACATGACTTTTAATAAAATAGTAAAATAAGGGTTGTTATATTAGCATTTCATGGCCCTGTTTTGTATGCTTTGTAGGCCTGTAAATACTTCGTCTTTGCTGTCTGCGGACTAACAGGCTGTTTGTAAATATATTGGTCTTTCATTTCTTTGAGTTGGTAGTATTAAAGTAGTAACCATAGAAATATTTTAATGTATTAATAGAATTTGGTTATATTCAACCTATGACCTACACAAAAAGTGATTATACTTTTTAAATAAGGAAAATAAAAGCAAAGAAAACCATGAGGCAAGTGGCACTCCTAAAGGAAGCAGAGTCAGAAAAGGAGCTCTTAGCAATCCCGTCATCAAAGGGAACAACGGCTCCTTGTCTCTTGGTGACGTAACTTCCCCAACATTTACAGTCTTTGAGTCAGGTGAGTTTCATCACAGTATCAGCAAGAAAGTGGGACTGCTTCCCCCCCTCCCCGAGCAACAGAATATAAATAAAATGATTGATAGGAATAGAGAGATAAAAACCTTGCTGAAGTACACTTAGTTTCCATGGCAAATCCAGGTGGCTTCTGCTTTGGTCAGGTGGCAGATTCACGTTGGTGTGCTTTCTACTTGACTTGGGAATCCAGCACGGTCTCCAGGGATACCTGCCATCGTGAGCTTCTGCTTCTCTCTACCTGCATCCACTAGGACTGCAGCAGTTAATGCCACAAACTGCGTGATTCTAACCTATGCATAGTTATTTCCTCACTTTCCTGGGGGCCCTTAGTCCAAACACAAGGCCAGTGGAGCCGAAAGCTTGCGTTTTCCTTTCCTTCAGTTTATGTATTCTTCTTTGACTTCTGTACAGATCCCCTTGGTGTGATCCCTCTGCCCAGATAACTGGCATGCAGACTTCCTGTGCAGATCTTGCCTCTGGATTCCAGACTGGCTTGTCCAGCTGCCATCTCACTAGCTCCCCTTAGATGCCTCCAGAAAGCCTGCAGGGATGATGGATGGGGACTTACTTTAAAACTCATGCTTTACTCATCACTTGGCTTGTTAGCAGAAGCCCCCAGAAATTGATCCTGCTTTTCTAATAATGGCTAAAGATTATCCAATAATTGCTGATTGTCACACACCTCATACGCTTGTTTTTCTAGTCTTTTCAATGACTCTTTCCCGTAGATTGTTCACTGTGTTATACTGATTAGAAAAAACAGGCTCACAAATTATAAGTAACTTGTTCAAAATTGCAAGCTTTTTTTGTGTCATTGTGGAGGTGGTCAGTGTATAGTTTTGATTACTCATACAAAACAGAAATTCCATTATCTGCGTAAGAATAAAACTACCAAAGAAATTTAGCATTGCAGGCAAGAGAATATGCTTCTCTGTATCTAAAAAGGCATTTTTCAACTTGAAATACATATGTCACTTGAGCTTTGTCAGCCAGGAGGCCAGGGAGAGTCTGTCTGGCCCAAAATGATTCCTTTAATCCTGTCCAGATTAGATCAGCCAAATATCTTTTTTTTTCCCACAAAACATCCTATTGAATATATCACTATAATGACCTGTTATATCTAGGACATTTCTGAAAAAGTAAGTCACATGAGTGAAAATGTGGAGATTTTTATCAGGTGGTGTTTTTGAAGAGCCTTCCAAGATTTCTTAAATGGGATTCACTTGACACCAAGTGCTTTGGTGATCAATAATCCCATGCTCCATTTCAGAGTACTGGGGCCGGACTCCAGCTCCAGGGCCAAACTCCCAGCTCCAGACCGGACTCCCAGCTCCAGGCCCGACTCCCAGCTCCAGGCCGGACTCCCAGCTCCAGGCCCGACTCCCAGCTCCGGGGCCGAACTCCCAGCTCCAGGCCCGACTCCCAGCTCCAGGCAGGACTCCAGCTCCGGGGCCGAACTCCCAGCTCCAGACCGGACACCCAGCTCCAGGCCAGACTCCAGCTTCCTGCAAATAAGGCCCTGGGGAACTGGGATGACCATTTATTTGGGTTCCTGATATCCATGGAGGAGACTTGACTTGCATTTCTGGTTTCTTACTTTGGCCCAGCTGCTATGCACATTTGTGGGAGTGGGGAAGCAAATCCACAGTTGAAAGCTCTCCCATATAAGTAAATAAATAAGTCAGTCTCTCCTTGCCCTTCTCTCATTCCTCTAAGGGAGTGTCCACTTCCATTGTCTAGGCTAACACATTTCCGTGGCTCATAGGTCTTTCCTGATCTTACCAAACAATCTTGCTGAAATTTTATAATCCGTATCTGTGCAATTTATTGATATCTTGGGTGAATTTTGTTGCTATGAGACAGAATATGTTGGACATTTACTGGAGTAGAGGAGAAACACAGATTCTCTCAAGTTTCAGTAGCAGAAGTAATCATAAAGTTGTGATTTTTTTCTCTGTTGTGGAGTAAGTGGAATAATATTTATGTTTAATTATTTTCACATTTAACATTGTGTATACCACCATTTTATAGATTTCATAATTTTCTTCTTCCTGGAGGCCAGGGCAGCATATACATATCTCAGAAAAGAGCTAATTTATGTCAATTACAGACAAGGACAGTATCATATGCATTTCTTTTTCTTGTTTGTTCTAAACTTTTATAGTAGATGTTTAATAGGCATTGAATAAATGGAAACAAAGTAAAAGCGTCCTGTGTGACCCCAGTCTGCCAAACCTATTCTTTTTTTAAAGATTTATTTTTATTATTTTTTTTATTGGAAAGGCGGATATACAGAGAGGAGAGACAGAGAGGAAGATCTTCCATCCGATGATTTCAATCCCCAAGTGAGCGCAACGGTCGATGCTATGCCAGTCCGAAGCCAGGAGCCTCTTCCGGGTCTCCCACGCAGGTGCAGGGTCCCAAAGCCTTGGGCCGTCCTCGACTGCTTTCCCAGGCCACAGGCAGGGAGCTGGAAGGGAAGCAGGGCTGCCGGGATAGAACCGGCGTCCATATGGGATCCCGGGCGTGCAAGGCGAGGACCTTAACCACTTGCGCCACTGTGCTGGGCCCAAACCTATTTTAATATTATTTAAAATTGTGATGTGTAAGATATTCATCAAAAAGAACCTTTTTCGGGCCCGGCGCGGTGGCGCAAGTGGTTAAGTCCTCGCCTTGCACGCCCGGGATCCCATATGGGCGCCGGTTCTAATGCCGGCAGCCCCTCTTCCCTTCCAGCTCCCTGCCTGTGGCCCAGGAAAGCAGTCGAGGACAGCCCAGGCTTTGGGACCCTGCACCTGCGTGGGAGACCCGGAAGAGGCTCCTGGCTTCGGATCGGCATAGTATCGGCCCGTTGCGCTCACTTGGGGAGTGAATCATCGGACGGAAGATCTTCCTCTCTGTCTCTCCTCTCTGTATATCCGCCTTTCCACTAAAAAAAATGATAAAAATAAATCTTTAAAAAAAAAAAAAAAAGAACCTTTTTCCCTGCAAACTTATGTGCCCATATAAAAACTGTGTAATTGATTTTCATATCTGAAATCTGAACTGCCTTCTATGTTCATCCCTATTTTTGAGTCTGTATTAAGAATGTGAATATGGGTCTCTTTGGGCACACAGAGCGCACAGGCTTTTAGTGCTTAAGCAGCAAAATACACGACTTTTAAATTGGGCCATCTTCCTATACCCAGAGAGAAGCGAGCTGGAGGTTAATGCAGGTGGATTTGACGTTTGTATTTTTCTTCACCCCTAACAGAACAGTAGGCTTGAGGTTCCAGTTTCTTCCGCTGGATGAATTCAGGTGTAGCATATGCAGGATGTCACACAGCGGCAGCTGCTGAGTCCATCCAGAAAATCGCTGTGCCAGCAGCCACTTCCCTGTGGCTCTCCTATTTAATTGAATGAGAGCCAGCAGGTGACTGGTACCATGAAAGGGAAATCACAGACAGGCTCAGAGCCTGTCACCAAATGATGGAGCTAACACGGGCTTTTACTGAGCGCTGGCCTCTGCTCAGGACCAGGAACTCTGCACACGGAACTTTTCCTATCGTTATTTTTATGTGCCAGAAAGTTGCAACTAAGAAATTGTTATATTCTTACATATAATAAGTAATAAGAAAATTGATTGAGGAATAGTTTTTCTTACCAATACCTGTATGTATTCGTTCTGTTCAGTTTCTAAGAATGTGAGTTTGATTGACACAAAAGCATGAGAAGGGTAGACAACAAGGGTATCCACACGCCAAATGACAGCAAGCGTCCGTTAAATGAGGAAAAGGCAAGCATCGTTGTTTGTGCTCCCCTAAGTGCAAAGCATCAAAAGAGTGTTTTCTCCAAATCTTGGGTTTTAAAAAAAGTGACAGCGTGGAGCTGAATGTGTGTTCTGGATGAAAGCAACCCAACTCCACTGGAGCGGGATCAGCACTCAGAAGGACACATTCCCACTTCAGTGACACCGCCTCCATTCCTGGAGTGTAGGAGACCAGTCCACCACCTGACCCCTCACAAGAAGTCCAACATTCCAACAACGGTACAAAACACATAGGCGGATGTACGGCAGATAAAGTTAAATCAAGGGGTCCTTTCATACTGGAAAGCTACTAGATGAGGATGTAATATTTATACCAAGTCTACACACTGCAATGATATGAAAATTGACAAAACATTGTGGGGGGGAAAATGAGGTATCAGTAAAGAAGCTACATTAAATGACAAAAGAATGAAGGCATTTGGTGACATTGACAATAGATTCAGACTGAATGCATCTGATCTTGTCTGATCTCGGAAGCTAAGCAGGGTCGGGCCTGGTTAGTACTTGGATGGGAGACAATAGAGTCAGAGAACAAAAGAATGCTGAAATAGTCGAGTATCTTTAAAGTTTTCAGGGTTTCAAAGCTCTAGCCCCAACTCCAGATAGTAATAGGCAGTGGGGGCAGAGCAGCGTTCTGTAACCCACAGTCTGCAGTCATTAACGAACCCAAACTTTTCACAAAGCCCATATGCTTTGCTAATGACCCTCACAATGTTGTATTTTTCTAATATGCTTCTCTACAGTGTGTTCTGGCTCGGGGCTTACACCCTTGCTCTTAATCAAATAAAAGAGGCTCCCAGCCATTAAAAACAACTGGTTTTACAGTCACTTCCAAGTCCCTCTCAGAGAAAGCCACTAGGAAAACACATTTACTTTGATGTGTTGTGGGGCTTAATCAGACATTCAAGAGTCAACAAATGGTAAGGGAAAAACACACCAATAAAATGTTTGAAAAAAATGCCAAGTCAGTTTGATACAGCCCGAGCTGCCTGTGTGCAGTGGAGTTGGAGACCTGCCAGTGTTAATAGCATCCAGTTGGTGTGGACCGAGCGATTCCTGGCAGCAAAGCACCGCAGAAAATCTAACCAAATAATGTCTTTCAAGTAAGTGACAGCGAAAATCTGTTCTCTGGATGTCACTGCTGTGAGGAAATTGGCCGATATTTTACTTAAGCATGTAAAAATAAAGGAAGGTGGTCATTTCCAACTCTAATAGAGAAATGAAAATTTTTATATAATTTTTAAATGCAGTTTGACCTTCTAGAAAAATTTATTTAAATGGAAAGGTTATCTGTTTTTAAAAATAAACTTTGAGGAGCCAGTGCTGTAGTCGAGCAGCTAAAATCCTCGCCTTGCATGCACCGGGATCCCATATGGGCAACAGTTCTAATACCGGTCACCCCATTTCCCATCCAGCTCCCTGCTTGTAGCCTGGGAAAGCAATCAAGGATGGCCCAAAGCCTTAGGGTCCTGCACCCATGTGGGAGACCTGGAGGAAGCTCCTGGCTCCTGGCTTCATATTGGCTCAGTTCCAACCATTGCGGCCATTTGGGAAATAAACCAGCAGACAGAAAATCTTTTTTCTCTGTCTCTCCTCCTCTCTGAATATCTGACTTTGCAATAAAAATAAAAAATTAGTTAATTAAACAAATCTTAAAAATTTAGCTTTGAAATTCCATGTATCTTCAAAAAAAAAAAAAAAAAGATTCCTTCTATGCTAATTTTCAGGAAAAGGAAAGCGATTGAAACAAGCTAAGGAAGAAGCCATGGCAGAAATTGACCAATACAAACTGCAGAGAGACAAGGACTTCCGAATGAAACAGTCGAAGGTACGTCAGAACATCACAACTGATTTTCATAGAGCACAGATTATAATATATGTAAATATTCATATAGTACAAGGTAAACCCTTGGGATGAAATAAATTAAAATTGAATGAATAACATTCAACCAAGTAGATCTTAAATATAACAGCATCACTTATAATACCTGTTTTTACTTTCAAGTCAGTTTTATTGTTTTCATATAAAGGTTTATCCAATAGTTACTATCAAACACAGTACATATGAAAACCACAATCATAAATAGGGCCAGGAATAGTTACAATATCATTCTTATCACAGATTATTGATCCATAAGTTACTGAATCACAATTTTAAGCAAGAAAAGACTGCAGAAAATGGTTTTGTTTATTGATTTTTTACCAATAGATTCTGTTCAATAATGTTGCATGCTAAAAATGCAGAATGAATTTGTTCAACCAAATTGCTTTTGGTGAAACCAAAATTTCTAAGTGACCAGAGTGGGTGTCAATGCAAATTCTCAAGAAGCCTGTAGCTAGCATGTTCTTATGATTGCTTCTCAACTGGCTGGCTTCAAGGTGCACGGTAGCTCTTCCTCTTGTTTGCTCTATCTTTCAAATAAATCAATCCTCACAAAAACGACATAATGTTTTCCACAATGTTATTTTTAAAAAGTATCTGCTGTTTGCAGAAAGTGCATGATATTGTCAGAGTTCACATCCTATTTTCCATGTCACAACATGAACTGAAATGTAGACAGCAGTAAGCTCTCTGTGTGTCATAAACTTTATAGGCTCTTTTGCTTTTGCTGCCATAACGGTAGAACTAAAGCTCTGTTCTGAAGCTGACATCGCAAAATGAACTCAAGCTGTGGGCAGTCCCTCCGTTTACAGCTTGTTTGTGATGGTGGATAGAGGAGAAGTTCAATGTAGCATCAGGTACATTGAACCTCTCGGTAAAAAAACACAAACCAAAAATCCCACGATTTTAAAAAGTGCCATTCGAGGTCTTCCTATAACAAGGTGGAAAACTTGGTGAAAATGCATCTTATCAGCATTTGGAAAAGCCAGCTCTTAAAATCACAGCCCACACAGATGCTGACACCTGCGTGTTTCAGCAGTTATACTTTCTACCACTCGACCTATTCTACTCTAGCCATACTTGCTGACAGAATGAGCGCCTAAACAAAATTTCTGTGTTAATCTTTCCTGTTGACTCCTGTTGTACTGTTGCATCTGATAATATAATCATACTCAACAACCTGCTTCTTTTTTTTCCAATGTTTATTAATTCATGAAGAGAGAGAGCATATGCTGCTATCCACTAATTCACTCCCCAAATGCCTACAATAGCCAGGCTTAGGGTGAGGTTGAATCCAGGAGCCTGAAACTTAATCTAGTTCTTGCACCTGAGTAACAGGTGCCATCACCCCTGTGTCCTCAGGCCTTCATCAGTAGGGAGCTGTATCAGAGCTGAGCCTCGCACCCAAGGCTCAGTACAGGATGTGTACATTTTGACTAGCACCTCACCCACCAGGAAATGCCAGCCAGCTTTCATTAAATTACAGAGAATACTTCTGAGATGATATTTTTAAGTAATAATAATATGAAAAGTAGCTATAGTTTCAGAAGGTGGTTAGGTTAAATGTCTTGAAATATTTCTCCAGAAGGATCTTGTCAGGTATAAATGTGGTTCAGGATTTGTTCCCTGCTTAGGTCAGTAATAGAAACTCCTCATTGTTCTCATAATTAAAGCTACAAACCAGTTTTACAGCTAGTTGATCAAGGACTCATGCAGAAAAGTCAATGAGCGTAAGCCTCCACTGCATCATGCAGGTTGTCACACAGCACAGATCTGCATTCCTGCAACAACCGCCAAGTAGGTCTCATTATTGTTAACCCAGGGCAGTGAGGAGGCCTGGGAGACCCTAGCTTCCGCTCGTCATGGCTTTTGCATCTTGACATTTCCTTTTTCCTGGTCTCGCAGCTCATGTTAATACACATCTTTTCCAACTCTCTGACACCAATAGACAAACAGATATCTCAATCTTGGTACTCTATCAATTAGTATTCACACGGATTCATTTATCTATTGTTCATCATGGCTACCCGATGTAACATCTACTAAAGAAGATACCACAGGGCTAAAAGGAAATCTAGGCTGCACTGGGAAAATTAAATCTGTCATTGTAAAAGTGAGAGTGAGGTGGACTATAAATCTAATTAAAATACCTGAAAATGAAAGTGGCAATGGAAAATTTTTACATCTTTAATTTTTCTTCCTGAATTTGTACCGTGAGAATATTTTATGGTCTTGAAGCGATCACAAATTGAGAGTACAAAACTACTAAGTGACAGTACAAAACTACTTTGCTCATGACAGTGGGATCTGAAGATCTGCCTCACTTCAAGGTGAAACATTTAACAACAAATAAGGAAAACTTATAGAATGTTGGAAAATGTCACCATCATTGTTAGTCAGTGTGTCACAAAGATAGTCACATTTGTCTTGACACCAACATTTTGAAAATGTGTGCCAAGAGATCTTTAAATGGCTTTCTGTGATCAAATGTATTGCATATCAGAGAGTTATCAACTTCTGACTTACACTAGTGCCCGAAACTTCAGCGTACAGGTTTCTGAGAGCATGAGCAACAGAGCATAGATAACGGGATCTCTGCAATACTTGGGAGTGGAATTGTTTTACCCAGTTCAATAGACAAGAAGTGAGCATTACTATCTTACAACATAATGGCACTTACAATGCAATGGAGAACAGGATGATGCTGGTTCTTTGCCTTTCAAGCTTAGATAGACTCATCTAAACACCTACATGGGATAAATCAGCATTCTGCCTTCACATGGAAGCATAGAAATTTTCCTTAGGAAGACCATCTCAAATTAGGCACAGTTAGTCAATGTTTTAGCAAACACTGTAGAAAACTGAAACTCCTGAATATCAGACATACTGAGAAATAATCATATATTTGATTGTGCAGGATGAGACTTAGTACCGTGGAGGTAGTTTCGGGAGCATTACAGTTGGTGAAAGTACACATTGGACCAATTCCGAAAGTGCAAGGAGGGTAGTCAAGGAAAAGTAGAACATCTGACATTTACCCACCACTTATTCAGTTCTTTGTTTCTGTACTGAGAGTCTTCTTAATGGCAACTCTATTCTGAAAATCGCCATCCTGACTCCAGGAAGTGCATTAAGGGCACAACTATTACCAAGAGAGATGTGTTTATTGTAACAAAGCTCTACCACCCACTATGGTAGCCAAGTCACCTGGGCCACTGAGTCCTGAAACATAACGAAGTTGCGTTGTAAGATTCCAAAGACTTGGTATAAAGAGTAAGGGTGTGATTTTTGTATTAACTTTATATTAACATAATTATGGATATGTTAAGTAAAATAAAATAATGGGTGTAAAAGTTAAATGTACTAACTTTATTTTGCCTTTTGAACATGGCCTCTAGAAAGTTTAAAATTCCATATATGTGTCACCTTGTGGCTTATATTACATTTCTACAATTGGGCACACTTAGCTCTCAAGAATCTGCTTTACATGTTACAACAATCCTAGGAAATGAATGATGCTATCTCCATTTTTAAAACTGAAGATCCCAAGGCTGACATTAGTTCTTCCAAAGTTAGCCAGTACAGCTGTTCTACACTAACCTAATCTAAGCTATTTTTAATTCTTCTCCAAAGAAACATGGGTAACAGTTTCACCAAAGTTTGTCTTTGAACTTTTCACCACCAAGAGTTGGATTTCAAGAGGAAAAGGTTATTTTTTTCTCCTGTTTGGTAGAAACCCACTTTAAGACATGTACTTCAGAGGATGGAAGAAGAAACCGAATTTAGTAGAATTATTTTATGTACTTCTTTTCTGCTTGGAAAGCTCTTCTCAGCAAAGGAAACTTATCTCTTGTGATTCTGCTTCTTCTGTTCTCATGCCTCAAAGCATTATTTTTGTAAAAGTTATTTGTGTGTCTTAAAAACTGTATCTTCTCAAATTGATTTTCTTTGAACTGGGATGACCCTATGCTCTGACCTATGACACAGAAAAAGAATTTGAACCAAATGACTTCAATTTCATTTGACTTCAAGCTACATTATAGATTAGGCAGGTTCTCTAATTTAGCATGTTTATCAACCTTGTTATAGAAGCCAATCTTTCGATGTGTTTCTTGTACTGAATCAAACACACTCACAGAAGACAAAGCCATCTTGTCTTCCCAAGGCCCAGGTTAGAAAGAGGGCAGGTCAGAGTGGGTGGCTTTAGCAAACAGTAATATTCAAAGTTCCTTTACCATAGATTTCTTTTAAATTATTAACTTCCCTGCTAAAATCATACTCTGGTCAAGCTATCACTTGATAGAACAGCTCAAAGGACAGAGAATTTAGTGTTAAATACTGAGAATCACTGACCAGGAGTGATCAGAAAAAGTAGTACCACAGTGTAGTGAAATGAACATACATATATATGTATGTAAATATATATATGTGTGTATATATGTATATCTCAGTCTGAAACAACTTCAATTTACCCTGAATTTATCAAGATATTTGTTACTCAAAATGATATTTGTGCATGTGAAAGTGTCTTAGAGTATATATTGTGTTTAGATCTTCCTGAAAAAAAAGGACTAACTAAATCAATTTTTACTACGTGTTTTAAATTTGGGAAAAGCCAGTTATTTGTTCTTTAAAAACTAGCAAAAATGGTTTTAATGGTGTTTTCCAACATTATTTTCTAGATTGGTGATTCAAAATGTAAGCTATAAGGAAAATGTGAAAACTGGGTGGCAAACCAGTTGATGAGCATGATGTGGGCATTGTGTCCCTGGAGGCAGTTTTTATCACGTAGAGCCCATCCGCAACGGAAGTAACCCACTAGGACCAGTTGCTGCTCTTCAGGAAAGCTCATTCCTCTCATTGAAGGTCTTTAATGATCTGGTCTGTTCTAGAGAAGGAATGCAAAATATGCAAGCAAGGAGCAATAACAAGCCAAGACAAACTTAGCTTATAAAGCCAATGCAATGCATTCTGGGGTGTTTTGAATTCTGTTGTTTTGTTAGGCCATGGACTCTCAAGGTGATCTGTCAGATGAAATAGAAGAACAAACTCAACAGAAGATACGACAACTGAAGGCAAACTACAACAAGCACATGGAAAGTGTAATGAAGCAGCTTTTGAACATGGTCTGTGACATCGAACCAGAAATCCATGCGAACTACAGAGCTACCAACTAAATGTCCATCTTGTTGCTGGATAAATGGTATGTAGTTGATTATGGCTTCATGTTCATTCTCAGGAATTTGTAATGTTAATCTTAACTTTCCTGGATATCTACCAATCTTAATGTGACATAACTTTTAAGCAATGGTGTTCTATTGTCCTGGTAAGAATTATGACCTTGTCATTTATTTGCAGTAAGGAATGAAGAGTAATGTTTTTTGGTATTTTAAAGGAAAATAAGACCATGATAACTTTGTAGTAGATGTGATTTATTGCATTTTTTTATCAATTTAGAAAACTTGTTTTTAGTTATGATTACTAAAGGATAATTTCACATGCAAGATATGTTTATGACTCATACAGATCTAAAATTAACATATGTCAATAATACATTCAATTCACCAGTCAATGACAAAGGTAGTAAAATGTTACAACCAGTTCTCTCTACTGGGCCCAATTGTAAGAACATTTCTAAGAACTACATGTATATATGCATATACACATGTAGGGAGAGAGAGAGAAAAAGAGAGAGAGAGAAGAGTTTTATAACCACTCTATTTGCTTACCTTCAATTAACCAGAGAGTACTTTTTCAAATTATTTTTAAAAGGAAACAATGATAAGCCGATAGCATAGAAGGTTTCGTATGTTGTTTTCTTGTTTGTTATTTAATTCTCAAGAGATACACTAGGGCAGAATGCTATTTACACAATTTCCCAGCAGTAAGCCAAATTCCTAAGTACCAAGTACTTTACAAGCCCAGGTACACTGTTAGCACAGCATCCTAGCAGGTGAATATCCATCTGCAACACCAGAGTTCAGATAGACACCTGTGCAAGCCCTCACGGCTCTATTTCTGATCCAGCTGCCTGCTAATGGGCTGGGGAAAGCAGCAGTATTGGGAGGTCCCTGCCTCCCAAACACTGCCTCCAAGTACTCCCAAGTACTCCCAGCTCCTGGCTCCTAGCTGTAGCCCGGCCCAGCCCTGGCATTTGTAGCCATCCGGGAAGTGAACCAGCAGGTGCAAGATTCCATTCTCTTTCTCTCTGACTCTTCTCCCTCCTTCTCTGTATCACTTTCAAATAAATAAATAAATCTTCTAAATGTTTCAGTTCCATGTATAAATTACTATGGTTAGGCATATAGGCAGTATTAGTGATACCATTTACAAATGCTAAGAACTAAGGAACTTCACTAGAGTGGCTTAGGAAACAGTGGTGGCATTGAGCTTTACCTTGGCTGTGGAACTCCAATGCCCATTCATTCCTTCCCACCAAATGGTCTCCTCAGAAAATTTCTGTATTTGTGTCATTATGAATCATGAATACCTTGAAATCTTATTTTCCAAATAATGTATTCAGAAAGACTTTTATTATTCCAGTCCAAAAAGGTTAATTAGAATGTTTAGTTGTTATGAACCTATGCATATAATCAATTCAAAATACAGAATATTTGAATTGATCATCATTTTAATTTGCATGTTTTGCCCCCCTTAGCCCAAAAGTTTAGCTTCTAAAGTCTGATGTTAATTAAAAAGATGAAAGTTTAACTCATCTCCAACGTGTGTGAAGGTTGGGTCTGGGGGAGAGATTAGGTTGCTTAGGTCATTAGAGAGATGTTCAAGAGAGAATATTGGTGGATTTATAAAAGATCGTGTACTCCTAGGTCTCAATAGAACCACGTGCTCCATGTCTCTTGCCCTGTGATTCTCTCTGCCGGAAGTCAGCTGTCTCAGATCACATCAATAAAAGTTAGTTGATGCAACTATTGCTTCTGATTGCTAGAATCACAGAATTTTTTTTTTTGTAAACAAAATCAAAACTTGAAAGATTCCTCAAATGTAGAAGAGAAAGGATCATTTTTTCTAGGAATCCCTTTTTCTTCTGTTTTGAGGTGAAGAGGGTTTCAAGTGACTTCTCTCCCTGCACTAAGGACAGCTGTGGAGACCTTCATTTCAACTGTGTTTGAAGGATCAGAGGGACTCTTTAAAAAATTCAGGGAAATGTATATTACCAAAAAAATGGCATGGATTTCAACACCGCTTGCATCAAAATAAACTTACGATTTCAATCCCCATGAGCATTTTGAAGTGCTGACACAGGTATGACAGTGAGTAAAACTGCATATTTAAACAGTTGGCAGGAAGACCATTGTAAAGAGCACGGCCTGATGCTTCTCCTTACCTCATAAGATCTCATCCTCTGCTTTATCGCATGGAAATAGATACTAATTTTCTGGATGTGAAAACTTGAGTATATTACTGGGAACAACAAAGTTAGTCCATTCTAAGCCTGAACAGGAGACAAAATACTGTTTAGAAACACATTAAATCAGTACAGGATTTTCTCAATCTGGAGTGGTACCATTCCCTGAGGGCAGAAATGAGAACTGAGGATCCACAGACTTGCATCTGGCCCGAGCCATACCATGCATTGTCTCTGTTCCACTGGCTTCTCATTTCAACTCCCTGAGCCTAGGAGTCTTTGTTAGTGTTTGAATACAGAAAATGGTATGAACGAAAGGACTTCTTAAAGCATTCGAGCGTTTTCTCTGATAAATTGGGTTAATTTTGAAGAGCAATATTCACCACTTGCAGATTTTTTTCATTCACTAATGCAAGTTCTGCTAATTTCTCGATGTCCTCACTGTTATCAGGAGTACAAAATGTCTTCAGTATTCTGGATACTGTGCAGCCCACAGAGTTTTAAACTCAAATGCTGTTTCTTGTTTGACTAACTGAACGTTCGCATCCTCACAGTTGGCACTACCTTCCAGTTTTACTTTATTTACAGAGGAAAAGGCTTTATATTTCAGACAGGATTCATGAATCGATGAGAACTACAGCATACTGAGAAGTCAGCCTTTCTGTTCGTGTACTTATGCTAAGTGGTTTTTCCTGTTCTTAAGGTCATCGTCACTCAGAAATGAAATAAACCAAACATGTTTTCAATACTCTACCCATGTTTTGATCTTTTGCACAATCATTAACTACAAAATGAAATAGGATTCCATTAACTTCTGACTCATTTCCACTGCACCTGAAAACAAAACTACAGATTTTACAGAAGGGTAGAGGGAAATAAAGATTTTAAATTTTTCTACATCTTAGTGCACCAAGTCAAGAGTTGACATACATGTACGATCATTATGTGTTCCAGATGGACAGAGTAGAACAGTGTTGGCCAAAGTATGCAAAGTTGCTGGCTTTGCAATTTTCCTCTGAGACCCTCCTCGAGCTGGTTTACCCCACAAGAAGGAAGATTCTGGTCAAAATTAGCAAAACCACATTACCTGCTGCTGACCATAAGAACATGCTTGAGCAAGGAGGAGATCTCATAAACCACACAGACGTGTGTGCAATAACGAACAGTACTGTAAGCCACTGGACTTCCAGGTGATATGTCATGACGTCATAGACGCCTCCCATTAGATGTCCCTTGAAAAAGGAGAGGCACTCTGCTCTCTTGAAATACAAGAGTGCAAGTAAAATAGGACATAGACGTGACCATTACATTCACACAGGCGGGGGGGGGGAGTAGGAGGAGAGAATGATTCATGAGAAAGTGAGAAATAGCAATTACAGGTAACAACAGACTGGAGAATGCGTGTCTGTAGCTCAAGGGAGCTGTGTCTAGTTTGGGATACAAACTGTTTACTATAGGAGAAAAAATTGTTAAGAAGAGTAGAGAGATGACTAATTGCAGAAGCAAAGTCCTTGAGAGGGTGAGAGAGTTGGAACTTAGATCGCCAGTAGAGAAATTAGCTTTAGATACAAGTGAGGCTACATATTAAAAAATGGCAGTATATGGATTGATTTATCAGTAAGTAGATAGACTTGGGGTAAAAAAAGATGAGAAAATTCCTGTTCAATTGCCACTATTATCAATTTAAATATGAGAGACAGAATCTGCTGAAAATTAATAGAAGTCTAGGAGACATATCGAACAAAAGAAAAAGCGATAAAATGTTCCCTTTAGAAGCTAAGAAGGTTTCTGTGCTGCAGAAGCGTATATGATTGTCAAGCAGTGCTGAATGTCTGAAATAATCCATCATCTTGCTTTCCAAGTGAGAGATGGTTCAGTTGCATTTTCCTCTGGTGACAGCAAGGTGCTCACGGGCAAAGAGCGAGTCAGGAGACAACCAGCTTCCAAGTCCTCAATCATCAACAAAGACTGCAGATCAACTGTCTTTTCATGCATGCTCTGCCCTAAAACTGAACTGGAACATTCTCATAAAAGGACTGCAAAGTTATGGCTGTATTTGAAGAAAAAAACTATTATTGAAAATAAATAATTAAAAAGAAAGATATAAATACGAGCACAGATGCTATTTTAAAATTTAATAATGCTGTATTACCAATTTGAATAAATGTAAATGTAACTGCTACTAATTCTACATGGCTCTCTTACTTTTAATTCTCCTATCTCCTGAGGAATGACTAATGTTAGTTGTGCATGAAGTTACTGGTATGGTGAGTTTCCTAACTTCAGAATAGCCTTTAGAAGTTACTTATTGCAGGGTTAGGAGTGTGATGAGAAGGGAGCAGCAAGATAGCCTAGTGACAAAATTCCTTGCCATGCATGCTATGGAATCCGATTCAGGCACAGGTTCATATTCTGGCTGCTCCACTTAGACTATTTGAGCTCATATCGACAAAGAGATGTGTAACTGTTACAGTAACCATAGCTATTATTATAGCTTAAGAAGAACTAAGCTGAAATGCTGTTGCAAAGACAGTATGAGTGTTGAAGGAGGCTATGTGATTAAGAATGGCAGAAAAGTCACTGTAACTTACTTTTGCATCCAGTTGAAATAGACCATGATGAAATTTTCTTATTTCAAAGTGGCCGTGACTTGAAGTTGTTTCTGTATTTTTGGTTCTGTTAAATCTAAAAGAACAGAAGTTTAACCAAGATTACTTTATAATGCTAGCACTTTCATTGAAAAAATATTTACAACTATTAATTTAGCATGTTTATTAATGTGTGATCAATTATTAAGAACATGTGTTTCAA